CAGAAGTACCATATCTTAGTGCAATAGGTGCTTTAATGTATTTAGCACAATGTACCAGACCTGACATAGCATTTTCAGTAAATTTGTTAGCAAGATATAGCTCTGCTCCAACAAGTCGACATTGGACCGGTGTTAAACATATTCTACGATATCTTTGTGGAACGACCGACATGGGCTTATTCTATTCCAGTGAATTGACCAATGCCCCGAGTATTGTTGGGTATGCTGATGCAGGATATCTCTCTGATCCACATCAAGGACGCTCACAAACTGGGTATGTATTTACATGTGGAGGAACTGCAATCTCATGGCGCTCAACAAAGCAAACGTTGGTAGCCACATCTTCCAATCACTCAAAATAACTTGCCCTCCATGAAGCCAGTCGTGAATGCGTTTGGTTAAGATCAATGATTCATTACATTCGAAGCACCTGTGATTTGCCCTCAGCAACGGACACTCCAACCATTCTAAATGAAGATAATGCAGCTTGTATTGCTCAAATCACAGGAGGGTACATCAAGGGTGACCGGACCAAGCACATATCACCAAAGTTTTTCTACACGCATGAGCTTCAGAAGAATCAAGAAATCAAAGTCAGACAAATCCGTTCAAGCGATAACTTGGCGGATCTCTTCACCAAATCTTTACCCAAGTGCACATTCCAGAAGCTAGTGCATGGCATCGGATTACGACAACTCTGCAAACAATCAAATTGGAGCATACAAAATCAGGGGGAGCATTCAAGTGTCCTCTAACACAGGACATAAGCACGCTGTACTCTTTTTCCTTCAACTAGGGTTTCTTCCCACTGGGTTTTTCCTAGCAAGGTTTTAATGAGGCAACATGAGCGCACTTTACATTACTCTAATGTCCCACGTAAAGTTGTACTCTTTTTCCTTCGCTTCGGTTTTTTCCCATTGGATTTTTCCAGGCAAGGTTTTAATGAGGCAACTAATCTAGGGATATGTGGTCTCCAAGGGGGAGTGTTATAAATAGTGGAAGTGGAGCCCACAATCAATTATGAAGTTTGAAAATGAGGCAAAAA